TTTATTCTTTTTTGTTTTTTGTTTATTTGTTTGGATTTCCGCTGCCTCACAAAAATCTTTTTTTTTGCGGTTTTTTTGTGCATTGCATGATTGACAGTTGCCAGGCATTGATGGAGGCTTAGAGTGGCGGTGGGCGGTAGCGGTGGGCGGGGCTGCTTCCCGCCCTCGCCTGCAATACCTAAATGCATTCAGTCAAAAGTTGTGCGAAAGCCTCCGAATAAAAATATTAAAAAATATATGTATATTCTCGGCATTTATATACAAACAAAAACAAATCCATGTGCACAGGAACAGTGACGGTGGAAATAATAGAGCACCAAAACAAGTTTTCAGGTTTACTAACAAAAGTATCCATTTGATTTAAATGATTTACTAATTTTTTGTTGGACTTTTCAATAGATTATTATTATCTAATTAAGATTTCAATAAATTTGATATGTTTGTAGGATATTGAACAATTGTTTTTGGGTGTTTTCAATTAATTAAAGTTATTTAATTAACATTTCCATAAATTTGAAGTGTTTATATAATTTTGAACTTTTGTTGGTTGAATCAAACGTACTATTACTAGTAGAAAAGGGGCATAGATTAGCAACTCTTTAAATATAATTTAAATAAGATATTACGCTATTTTAAGCATGAACTTTACAAATTATTGCCACTTTCTTTGGCACTCCTATTAATTCCCCCCCGGCTGTTCGAGCGTTCATATTACGCATACGCAATGTAGACGGCAAACAAACAACCCAAATGCTGACAAGGGCAGGTGGTGCTGCACCGGGGTGTGGGGTGTGGGGTGTGGGGTGTGTCAGGGGGTTAAGGGGTCCGAAAGGGGCTCGAAGGGTGGAGGGGGAGGGGCTGCGACGGCGAGGACGAAGACTCATAAAATGCAAGCACAGCAGTGGTGGCGGCGACATTTGAGAGGGCCAGCCTAAAGGTATGCTATGAAAAAATTGCATAAGAGCAGCAGCTCGAAAAAACGAGAGGCAAAAAAAGAACGCATTTGTTTCAAAATTAAATACTCATATGTATGTGTGTGTGTGTGTGTGTGTGTTTGCTTGTGTGTTTGTGTGTAGAAAAGAAAGCAAAAAGAAAAAGAAAGCAAAAGTTGTTGGTTTTGTGCGTTGATTTTTGTTTTGGTTTTGTTTCACTGCAGCTCCCCTCGTTATAATCATTTCCCCCATTCGCAGGCAAGCCAAATGCACGGAGAAAGGGGCCAGGAGACAACGGGAGAACGGAGAAAGGAGTGCAAGGCAGCAAAAAAAAAGAAAGTGTAAAAGCAAAAGTATTTATTATGCGGCAATGGCTTGGAGAGGCCTACAAGAGGCCTGCAAAACATCAGAGTCAACGAATTGCAGCGCACATACACAGAAACTCGCATATCTACACAAACAAAAATGAATTATTTTCAAATTAAACTTTACAAATCAGTTTGACCCCTTTCAAAAATATTATAAAACATTACAGGTATTTTCAAAAATATATATTTAGTTTCCCAAGTTTTAAATTGAATATAAAAATAATAAAATTTAGAATTCAACTACCCTTAGAAGTTCTTACAAATAATAATACAAGATTTAGTATATTTAAATACAAATATTTAGTCGTTTTACCTAAAAATTGAATTGTGGCTTGATAGTAATTAAAGGTTAATTTTGCAGGACTTTTATAAAAATGTGTTCTGTGCAACACACAACCGTCCCTCACACAGATACTCGCACACACAAGTCAACGTCCGACTGCAGACTCGAGGCGGCTGCCACTTTTTTGTTGCCTCCTTTTGGGCTTTCTTTTTCCCAAGCTTTCTTTTTTAGATAAATTTTTATTTGAATTTATGCATGTGCGTCTCCCTGAGAGAAAAAAAAAGGGAAAAGTGGAAGTAGGGGTGCTGCAGGATTCGTTGGAGTTGCATATACATATATAATGAACACCATGTAATGCTCCAGACTTCCTAAAAAGTTTTTGGTTGCGTTCATTTGAGGAATTTATTGGAAAAGGGACCTTTTGTCTGACAATTTTTTCATCTAAAAGAAAATATTTCTAAATTGTTTGAGGTATGCTTAAAAACTTTTAAGAATCAAAAACTATTTTCTGTATGAATTTCAAAATGAAATTCTTACTTTGAACCAAAAGTGTATCTAAACAAAGAAGTTATGTATTTTATAGAAACTATTTATAAAAGTCTATATAAAGTCTAAATTATTATGCTATGCGATGTAGAATCATTATTTTAGGCAGCTCTTTAACAATGGACTTTAAAAGTTCTTATACTTCCATTTGTGATGCATCGCAGGACCGTAACCTTTTGGCAAGTCAACACTGTGCGACTTGCATTTTAATTTTCAAGTTTTTTTTGGGCGCTTTTGGGTTTTTGACAACATTTCCGCTGGCTTGGCCCATCTGGGGCCTGTCATCCAGCTTTTGCCACCCCGAATTTCCCCCTTGAAATCGTCAAGCGTTGCAACAAAGTGCGTTATTCATATATATATATATATATTTTTTTTAGCTGACTTTTTTCACTGCACTGAAGTAGGAAAAGCGGGCAGAAGAGGCTAGGAAACATAAGAAAAACGACAGTGGCTACTCGTGTTCCTTTTGCTTTCATTTTCCCATTTTTTTTTTGTGTCCACATTTTTTCGCGTTTATCCCGGTTGACGAAAATTTTTCGCTTAAAAAGAATGAGAATGAGGAGAAGGAGGAGGAGAAGGCGACGGAGGTGGAGGCGGTGGGAAATGTAATGTGAAAATATATTTGCCGGAAGCTAAATGTTTTGCCAGGCGAGTACAGTTGTGCTTGCCGTGCGCCCAAAAGTATGCATTACATTCGTTTTGAATGCGAGCCAAAAATTAGTGGAGACAACCGAAGGAGGCGGCGCGGAATGCCTTGTTCGCACTGGAGAAAAAAATAAATTGAATATCGAGCCACCCACACAGTCCAAGCCATTTCTTAGTTTGTTTTTTCACTCCTCTTTTGTTTGTCCTGTTGCAACATGCGACAATTTTTCCCATTGTTTGATTTGAATATTTGATTTGGTTTTTATTTTATTTATTTAGCAGTCTCAAATAATAAATGTGCGGACATGGAAAGGCTAACCGGTCGAGTTCAGAGCGGCCAGTGTACACACTGCATTGTATACTAAATTTTTTTGTTTATTTATTTGTTAAAACGAAAGCCCTAGGGTGTTCGAGACAGTCTGTTTAAAACGATAAAATTAAATTAATATGGCTCAGTGCACTTTAATAATCTACTTAAAATGCTTAACCTTTCAAGGTATTTAGGAAAAAAGCTAAAAAAGCTGTTTGATTGCCACAAGCAAGAAAATTAATAATGCAAGAGAAAACACTGCGTATACGCAACCTTTTACTATTAACAATAGTACGCCTCTTCTTACTCTTGATTTGTATAAAAAAAAGTTAAGTGTGTGTATTTGATTACAAACTGCCCTTTTAAATAAAATTGTTTTCATATCAAATATAACTAGCAATCTCGCCGACGATCATAATATGGACTCTTTTTTAACCACATTAAAATAGAGTTTCCTAAAAAATAACAAGGCATGTTTTTCTCTGCCCATTTTAACATAATACTTCTGCCTCCGGCTTTGACATGCTTTAATATCATTTCCCCAAAACCCCAATAAAGGGCATCCCCTCGTCGAATACATTTTTTTTTCATTATTTTGTCGAGAAGCCTGGACAATGCCACCTCTCTTGACAGCCATATTGAAAATTATAGTGTCGTAAACATGCAACTGCAACAACAGCAACAGCATTGGTGGCAAATAAAAAATTAAATTAAAATAGGAGGGAACGGAGTGGAGTGAAGGGGATGGGCGGAAGAAGGACCTCGAACAGAACATGGCCAGTAAATAAATAATACAAACAAAAAATTTCAGGGGAATGGGGGAAAGGGGGGTGGGGTCGCAAAATTGCAAACGGAAATTGCCAACAATGTGTGGCAAGTGAAAAGTGGAAGTGGCCCACAAAACGAAGCGATAAAAAGTCAACTACCATCGAAATAAAACCAAACACAAAATTCTATCAACTGTGCGAAAACTTATGGCATAGAGTGTTTAGGTGTGTGTGTGTGTGTAAGGGTGTAAGTGTGAGAGTGTGGGAAATTTACAGAGAGATATTTACACATAGATATACGACAACAACAACATAGATTACATACACATAGATTTGATTAACTAACAAAATTACACAGACACTTATCGATAGACATTGAGAGAGTTATAGTGTGTGAGAAAGAGTTAGCTAGCTAGAGGTAGAGAGAGACAGACAGATATATATAGAGAGAGAGAGAGCGCTACACATTAAACAAAATATATATTTACTATATAGAGCTAGGAAACTGAACAACTAACATTTGAAATAGCTTTTGATCTCAAATTACTTTAAAGGCTTATTTCAACTGAATACAAAAAAAGAAAAACTTTACTTTCTTAGGTTGGGAAAAACTTGATATGTATATAGGGCATAGATATAGATGGATAAGATATATATATATATTTGTATAGATATATATGTATGGGTATATATATGTATAAAAAATTCATAGACAAAGAACACGACGAAGAGCAAAAATATATGTTGAGTTTTGATTTTGTTTTCTTTTTGCATTTGTTTTTGGATTTTGTATTTTGTTTTTTTTGGTAATTAAATATATAAATATGGCATATAGATGTATATTATAAGAACAGACAGAGAGAGAGAGAGAGCAATACTTAAGATAGAGATATACATATAGAAATGGAGTCGGATCGAGCCAGATTGGGATCAGATAGATCTTATTTGCGAGACGCATCTCAGAATTCGATTATATATTTTTTTGTATTGACCTATCGAAGCAGCAAAAGCATTCACTGAAAGGGATCTCCTGGGACTGGAGTTTCTTTTCGAATTTTGGCAGGGGTATTTCTCGAATCGGTTTGAGGTTTTTTTTGGGGGGGGTTTTTTTGGGGCGGGGTCAAAAGTATCGCCAAAGTGCAGACTTACCGACTCGTGGGAGGCGCGGTAGTCAAGGTCGCCGCCCAGGCCGCCGCCAGCTGATGCCGAACGCTGTTGCATGTGTCTGCTGTGACTGCTGTTGTCGTCCTCGCTGCAATCGATCTCCTTCTTGAGGCTCTGTGGATGTAATACAAGGTATGGCAGCATTATTTGGGGATCACTTGGTGGCAACTGCTTTTAAGAACTAACTACACCGAAAAAAACAATATAAGTCTAACACCAATGTGGACCAATGAGTGTTAAATAAGATTTTAGAAAATATTCTAGGTGTACATAAGTCTCAAATTAATTGAACTTTGAATACCTTATCAAATAATCTTCATAATAGAACCAACAATAATCTCACTTCAAAGATTAATTAATTTTCTTGAGGATTTTTTAGTGATAAGAATTTTAAGATAACAAAACTTTTAAAAAATCTTTTTTTTTTTTTTTTTTTTTTTTAGGGTTCCCCTATAAAAAAAGTAAATATATAAATTTTTGCTTTTTTTCAAAGAATAATTTAAATACAGGTCAAAAGTCTTATCTCTTATGATTTAAACAACCATAAACATATTAATAATATTATAAAATGGAAAAAATAGGCAAGTTTTTGTTGTAAATATTTTGGCTTGGCATTTTTGCAAACTATTTTGTAGCCATTTAATCTTTAGAGAAAAGCCAATAAATATAGCTTTATATCTTGATTTATATGCACTTTAATTGTTTAACTAGCTTGATTTAAATGGATTTTTATTATCAATATATTAACAAAATTGAACCAACTCGTCTTATGAAAGCTCCATTAAGTTTTCTAAGTCTTGGGGGGGATCACTCACCAATGGCACCGATTGCACGGGCAGGAGATTGGCCACGGTGCCGGGACTCAGCAGGCTGGACGAGGAGGCTCCGCCTCTGCCGTCGTTGCCGCCGCCGTCGCGGGAACTGCGGGACGCCGGCCGACCGCCGGAGCCACCAATACTGAGGTCCGAGGCGCCCGCTCCCGATCCCGCTCCTTGTGCCGGCGTCGAGCGCTGCGATTCCATGGCCGCCGCCGCCGCTGCCGCTGCCGCCGCTGCTGCCGCCGATGACGATGGCAGGGTTATCAGGGGCGAGGGGATCAGGGTGGAGCCGGTGGACAGGTCCACGCCCCCACCGCCTCCACCGCCGCCGCCGCCGACCTTCATGTTGAGACCCAGATCGTTGCTGCTGTTGTCCGCCTCGTCGTCGTCGTCCAGATCCATCTCGTCGTCGTAGTCATCGTCGAGGATCTCGCTCTTGGCAATCACGGGCATGGCGTCCTCGTCATCCGAGTGCGGATGGTGGGCGTGGGCGTGGGCGTGGTGCGGCGGATGCGGATGCGGATGGTGGTGCTGCGGATGGTGGTGGTGCGGGTGGTGCGGATGCGGATGCGAGTGCGGATGCGCGTGCGAGTGCGGATGCGGGTGGTGCAGCCTCTGCAGACTCTGGTGGGCCAATCGCTGGGCAATTCCCCTGGCCATTGCGGTGGCACTGCCCACCACCACCACATCGTCGTCATCCGGGTCCTCCTCCTCGTCGGCATCCTGCTCCAGGCGATCGTCCACCTGTCGCTGGTGATCACCGCCATCGTCGTCGTCATCGTCATCCACCGCAACCACGGAATCCGCGGTGCCGCCGGAGTTGGTTGTGCCGCCATTGCTGGCCGTTGATGATGTTTTCCCACTGCTGGTGTTGTTGTTGTTGCTGCTGGAGTTGTTGTTGTTGTTGCTGCTGTTATTGTTGTTGTTGCAGGTGTTGCTGCTGCCGCTGAGGTTGTTGCTGCCGCCCTGCTGCGTTGCTGCTGCCGCTGCAGCTGCTGCTGCTGCTGCTGCGCTTTTTGGCTCGACATTAGGTCTTTGATAGAGATCCAGCGGCATGGGCGTGTCCTCCTCCTCATCCTCGTCCTCCTCCTCCTCTTGCTCCTGATCCCTCAGCATCGCCTCCTCGTTCTCATCGAGCTCATCCACCTCCTCCACCTCGTCATCCTCCTCGTCGTTCAAGTTGCGACCGAGCAGCTCCTCGGCCAGCAATTCATCGGCCGGCCCTCGTTCCCGATCCGCCGACAAGTCGTCCTTGTCCACCGGATGCAACCGGGAGGAGCGTTTGGCGGGCGTGGGACTGCAGCGATCGCTGGCCTCCCGCTTCACGCCGCCGGTCGACGATGATGATGATGTTGCCTCCTCCGTTGTTGACGCTGTCAGCGAGGATGTTGCTGCCGTGGATGTTGCCGCTGCTGCCGTTGCTGCTGCTGTGGCACAGGTTGCTGTTGTTGTTGTTGCCGCCGTTGTGGTTGTACTACTGCCACTGCCGCTGCTGCCACTGCCACTGCTGCTGCTCCCCGCCGCTGCCGTTGTTGCCGCAGATGTTGCTGCTGTCGCCGCTGCTGTTGCTGTTGCCGCCGCAGATGTTGCTGAGGTTGATGTTGCCGTCGCCGCCGCCGTCGCCGCTGCAGTTGCTGTTGCCGCGGCAGCCTGTGTTGCCGCTGTGGCATCCAGAGCGGCCGCCGGACTGTCGGCCGCCTTGTGGGCGGATCCGCCGCTTCCGCCGCCGCCCTGCGGACGCAGGCGGTCCGGTTCCCGCTCCGGTTCGCGCAGCGTCGTGTTCTGGTTCGTCATCTCGGCGAGGCCCTTGACCTGCGGGATGTAAATTAGTTGATTAAAGGAGAAATCATCAGGTAGAACATAAGGTTGCAACATTGCCAACTTTTCTGGGACTTATGTTAGCAAATTCAATTTATGTTAAAATCACTCAATTACTTAAAATCGCAAGGTAATTATTTTCTATGTGCAAAATCCATAAAATGATGTGCCAAAGAAATTACAATGGTTTTTAAATCACTTAAAATTATGTATACAAATTACGAAGTGAAAAAGGAACGTTGTATAAAAAATTATTATATTTTCGTAATCAGACAGCTTTATAAGTTATTTAAAAACGCTAGTGATATCTGTAGCAGCATCTATTAATAAAGTATGAATTCTATGCAAAGGGCTGAAATTCAATTTGCAACAAAAGTTGGCAACCCTGGTCAGGGGATAGGGATATGTCGAATTGGATGGCAACCCACCTTGAGGGATTCGGCTGTCTTGAGCAGCGCGGACAACTGACAGTATTGCACGTTCACCTCGCCCTTGTACATGAATTCAACTAAGGTTTGCAGCTCGGCAAAACGGACGTCCTTCAATATCACAATTGGATGTCTTTCGGGGTGCTCCAGGAACAGGCTCTGGAAGTACGAGGAACAAGCCGAGAGGACCACCTGAAATGGACCAAAAAAAGGAAGGGATTAGTTAAGAATAGGTAATTCATAAAGATAATTAAAGATAATGTATTGGCCCAAGTCTAGTTTTAAACATAAATCTTTGTCAAAACTTGTTTTATGCTTACAGAATTAATCAATAACAAAAGCATATAAAAGGATAATAATTACATATTGTTAAGTAATAGTTAACAAAACTAACAGATTACTTTACACACAATTTTACACTAGCTTTCCGATTGTTTCGCAGAAATCCTTTTTTTTTAAAGAAGAAATCCAGCAATAACCGTTTAGTTTTTCTTAGCCTAATAGTTTCACAGCCCTCCAACAAAATCTATAAAAAACCGGAGTACTCCTACTCAAGTGTTAAGTATTTAAAAATATTTTTTTTTTTTAATTTAGCCTTTTATCAGTCCATCATCTATGCACTCCGCCGAAGGAAAGGCGCATTTTCTACGCTTTTTTCCCCCTTGAGCTCTGCGATGTTGCGGCAAGCATTTATTAGATTTACGATCTGGCTCTCAAACGCAGCCACAAATGCCGCTTTTGAAGATGCCACAAACGAGCGATCCGGAAAACGTTGGAGCAGCGGGGAAAAGCCGGGGGAAAACGGGGGAAAATAGGAGAGTTGCGATGGGCGATTCAGTTGGAGTTCAATTTGGAGTCCAGTTCTTTTTTTGCCCAGTTGGCTGCGGGCGTCAAGGCGTGAACATGCCACGAATGACAATGCCACAGCAACTGCAGCAGCACCAGCAGCAGCAGCAGCAGCAACAGCAGCAACATCAGCAACTTGCAACTTGCAACTGGCAACCAGTTCCGATCCGTTTCAGCATTGCTGTCGATTTTTATGTGCGCATGCACGCCTTAGGGTATGCAATGAACGGCCGATATATATATCCCCAGCAGATCGGCGGAATTATCGGTGCTTTCGGGGCAGGGAAATGGAGTGGAGTGGAGTGGAGTGCCGGAGCGACTGTACGGCCATGTTGTAAATTTTCATTGCTGGCAAATTGAAAAGGCGTCGGCCTCCATTTCGCATATAGATTTCGCTATAGCCTAATGAGGTTTTGGCCTAAGACTGCAGTAACCTCACTTCCAGCGATGTCAGTGTGAGGAAACTCACGAGGATATGCGATATCTCTAACCCAATACAAACAATACGAAAAAGGTAAGAGAAAAGTCGCAAGATTTTTCTAGATTTCTAGGTTTTTTATAGAGTTCAAGTTAGGGATGTTAAAAAGTTAAATTATATTAAATTTGTTACAACCATTTTTTGGCATTTATCTTTATTTATATTGTAAAATAGGAACCCGAAATTTCACGTTTACAAAAATTACCAATAAATAAGAAGAGTTGAACTTGAATATTTTTAGTTTAATCAATTTTTTTTAGTTTTATCAAATATTGATTGAATAAATATAACATTTTAGCTGGAAACCCAATTCACAAGGCTTTTTGCAGATCTAAAATGTAGTCAGAGAATCTCGTGAAAATGTCCACGTGTGCCTGCCATCTCTATCACCTGCTCCTTTTTCTCCCCCCGTCCCCCTGTTCCGCCCCCTGTGCCACCCCCTCCACAGCGCCTCCTGTCACGCGCCGTTTGCGCTAGAATTTATTTAAAAAAATGCAATCGGCCTGCACACGCCCCCGAATCGCAACAACAGCGTAAAATGAGCGTTAATAAATTCACGCGCATATTAGAAGTCACGGGCGTGCGGTGGGGGGGGGGGTTTTGGGGGGTATCGGGGGTCTTGGGTCTCGAGTGCTGCCAAGTAGTCCTGGGTCCAGTCTTCGCTGTCTCGAAACTCTTTCAGTGGCATTAAGAAAATCGAATTTCCTGATTACAAGAGGGGCTTGGCCAAAAACCAAGGGGGGGAAGAGGGTGGGGAGGAGGTGGCCCAAAGAGGGGAAAGGCGTCGCAAATTGGCAACACTTTTAATTGAACGTCGCTGCCGGTGAGGAAAGAAGAAAAGCTGGACAGGGGGAATAACGCCCCCAAAGCTAATGAACGCCAAAGGCTTTGATTTCTAACGCCACGGCCCAGTTAGTAAACATTTTCAGCTCTCTTCCTATATTAAAAAAAAAAAAAAAAAAGAAAAAAACCGAAAAAAAAAAACGTTGCATGTAATTTGCGGCAAAATAGTCAACAACATAAATTTTGTGAACGATTGAGAGGGGCAGAGATCGCCCGAAAGAGGTGGCAACCGATCGCATGTCCCAAGTGGGCGTCCACCTTTCCAACCGAAATTTAAACAGCAGTTTCGACTTAAAAGAAAAAAAAAAATTAAACTAAATGAACGGAGAAATATCTCCCCTTTTTGGTCAGAAGAAAAATTCTATTCCAATTACACATGCGAATAAATCAAGTGAGGCGGTATAAAAAAAAGCGAGTGGGCGCCAGGGAATTAACTTTCTTGGCTGAAAAGCAGGGCGTTATCTCTGTCATTCTTATCGCGATCGGATCTTGGCCAGATTCCAGATGATCCCGTTTTTCCCGTCCGATTTAATAGATACACCACTATGCATGACTACGGTTTATGTCTTTCCTGGAGCACGCACTTGCTAATTTAAATATTTTTCTGTTTTGCATTATTAGTGGAGATTATGCAACTATGTTTTTTTGGAAGATCCCCAACTTTATTTAACCTTTTTCAGAGACGGTTTTTTTTTTTGTCTGCCAGTTCCCAAACTTGGGTGTGACGGGTGATTCTGCTGGCGTCGTCGCTGTTGCTGCGGAAAGGTTAACATTTCTATTATGGGGGGCACCACTCCCTTTTATAGATGTTTTTGTTGCTTGACCACCATCAGAGAAACACAACAACAACAGCCGCAACTGGCAAACACTGCGGCGAAATATGCAAATTATTATGTTTGCATATCGCCGCCTTGCCGGGTTTCTTTTTTCCTTTTTTTTTTGTTTTTGTGCCAGCAATTTTCTGTGTGTTTGTGTGGCGCTTGCGGCTCTTTTTATTGCTCTTCTACCTCTTCCCTATATATTCGGATTTTTCTGCAGCTTCCTCCTCTTCGATTTTCACTCGCATTTATGTCTTAATACAATTTGCCGAGATTTGCTAGGAATGCAATCCATGGACTACTACTACTACAACTACAACGACTACTACCTGATGATAGATGATGGATTATCCGATCCCCCGGGATCCTCATCCTGACTTTCCAACATTGTGATTAGCTTTTTTGTCCGTCAATTTCGCATAATGTGTGCAAATTTATATAATTTACCCTGATGGATTATCGTTATCGATTGCTTTTCCCTGCCGATAATTGTGTGTGTGGGCAATTTAATTTTATTGATTTTTCCGATGACAGGGAGAGGATCGCAGAACTGTGATTATCGATTGATTATCGTTTGATTACATCTATTAAAGTTCATTTAATTAATAAATAAATACAAGATGCGTGTATGCATTTCGAATTTTATAGTATTGGTTTAGTTACATTGCTGCATTTTTTACATTGCCGATTTACAAAAGATTAACGATACATACATATCAGGTAAACATACTTATACAAACATTGTAAAGAAAAACCAGGAATAAAACTGACAAAAACCTTTTCTGTTTGATATTTCAAAAGATTTTACATTCACTTAAAATATAGACAGCATTTAGTATAATTTCACACTTAATAATGCCAAAAAGAGTTTGCTTCAAGATTTCCTTTTATTATTCTTTTTTTCTGTCCATACTCATGTGCATTGTATATTTATCATAATATTAGTAGCAATTATGCCGCATCATCTGCTTGCCATTTCTGAAGCAGCTCAAAGCATTTCAGAAACTGATTAATGGCCAAGACCCGGTAGACAAGTAGCAATAGAAGTTGGCGCGGAAAAAAAAATGAGAAAAAACAAACAAATTTTATTTCAAAATATGGCATTTCTAATTTAACAACTGCGCTTCGAAAATTGCGTTTTTTTATACCGACACTGCCGTCTTTCTTTCGCATGCCTGCCATTTAATTATTTTCTTAGAGCTCATTTTATGGTGGTCGGGGGGCTGAGAGGCTGAGGGGGAGTGCAGGGATGATGGAGTGCGGACGGGGGCTGGCCGAGGGGGCGGGGGAGCGGAGCGCAGACGACGGCAGCAACACATCACACGTTGACCTTGATATTCGCATTCGCAGCGGAACCGCACAACTTGCACAGCTAACGAACATAGATACAGCAGGGGCTAAAACTTTAGGCCAAATAAAAGTTTTGTATTTTTCTTTGACTAAAATATTTTTTTTTGGCCCAAAAAAAAGAACCGATTCCGGAAAATTACACAAAAATAGAGAGCTTAATAGAGTATACTTTCTTTCCTCTTTAGATAAAATTAAGCTAACAATGATGCCAAGCAGATTTATCATTGTCAATTATACCGATGCGTTCGATAACTTTCAATGATGCCAATGCATTCAATCACTTTCAATGATGGCAATGCAAGCAATCACTTTCAATGATGCCAATGCATTCAATCACTTTCCATGATGAAATGTTTGCTGTTAATCTAAAATAAATGCCAAAAATTCCTTAAGAATCTTATTTAAGTATTAATGAAATGATTCAACGAAATCATACAATTGATTTCATTTGTTTTTAAACTTTATATTGTCATTTAAATAATGTCACTAATTTGCTAAAAAAAATTCTTTTACCCATTTTATTTATATGACCCCAAGTGTGAACACATGTACCCCCTACACACACACACATATATACACGTGCAAAGCATTAAGAAGAATCGTTCGGAAGAAGAGGAAACAGTGGGGAAAGAGAGAAGGAGAAACAGAGAGAGAGAGGCGCACGCAACGCAGCTTTCAAAGCTTCGTAGTAGTTGTTGTTATGGCCATTTGATTGCACGAGGGAGGAGAGAGAGCGAGAAGAAAGACCGTCGATCGTGGGTGCTAGAGCGGGACAGAATGGGCGATAAGCATTCACGGATTGCGAATTGCAAAAACGCAAGGGAATACTCGAGTATAAATAAATAAATAATGCGAAC